TTTCTAGTACCTTATAACCGTTACCTAGTGGTAATAATTGACATATCATCAAATTGAGTGAATTCATAGTTGTGAAGTTAATGATTTGGTTACAAGAATGTATCATATCTAAATTTTAAAAATTTAGTTTAAAATATCTATAAAGCTGGACATGTTGGCATACATTGTAACCCTAGAATTTGGCAGGCTCAGACAGGTAATTGCTGTAAGTTTGAGGTCAATGTGAGATATATAATAGATCTCTGTCCTTCATTATTAAATACATACAAATTTAAAAAAAAAAGAAATACTTATCAAAAGAAGTCTGAATTGTGCCATCAAATATTTTATGATTCTTCTGTGTTTCTAGGGGTTACAGTAACATTTAATATTTTCTGCTTTCACAGTTCCCATTTTAATGCCCCTTCCTCTTTATCACTCCCTTCTGTCTTTGTTTTTTGCTTCTGGTTTTCCTCAGTAATTATCCTAAGTAATACAACTACCTCCCAGAACCCATGTGTCCAGGCTGTCTTTGTCATTCTCGGTACTCTCATTCGCTGATTGTGAGAGCCCACAGCAAATCTTAGCTTTGTTTTATTTTGTCTTTCTGAGGACATGAACTTAATTTTTCTTTTGTTTAGTTTTGTTTAGTTGGTTTTTTTTGGGGGGTGGGGGGTGTCGTTGTTTTGGGCTCTCAGATTTGAAGGGCTTATGTTTTATCTGTTGAACCATCATGTCAAGCCCTAGACTTGAATTTCTTTTTTTTTTTTTTAATTTTATTTTTCTTATTAGTTACATTTTGTTAACTCTGTGTCCCAGCTGTATCCCACTCCCTCATTCCCTCCCCAACCCCACACTCCCTCCCTGGTCTCCTCCCTGCCCCTTTCTACTGATGGATATAACCTAGAACTTCTGCTCGGATGTGGCCTGTGGTAGCTCGGTAACGAAGTAGTTTTCCAAAGTAAGGGAAACAAGGACTATTTCTAACAGGATCTCAAGGGCAGGCTGTTTGACCCCACCCCCACCCCCGGGGAGGAACAGTCCTGTAAGGCCACAGAGGAGGACTTTGCAGCCAGCCCTGAAGATACTTGATAAAACAGGGTCAAATGAAAGGGGAGGAGGTCCTCCCCTATCAGTGGACTTGAATTTCTTAAAGGCAAAGACTAGTATTATAACACTACAGGCAAACACTATCTTTGCACTGTAAATGTAAAACTGTAGGATTGTGTCCACCTGGGCATGGAGGCATAAGCTTATAATACCAAGATTCAAGAAACAGGTTGGAGAATTTTGTAAGCTCACCCCATGAGCTAGAATCTACAGGCAACACTGCTTGTGTAACTAAGAACCAGAGGCTAGATTATAGCCCGGAGTCCAGAGACCTACGGTAAAAGCAAATACTACTGGTCAAGAAAAAAAAAAGTAACAATAAAATCATCCCTTATAATATTATGCTACACTTATAGATCAGTGACTTATTCAGCCACCATCAGAGTGGTGACTGGAATGCACAGATTTAAATGTTTCTATTAACCCCTTCCTCTCAGAACTCAATGAACCTCTTGGAAGGGAAGGCAGAAGAAATAGGGGAAACAGACAGACTAAAGAATACTAGAACAAAGCCCTCTAAAACAGCTGAGCAAAGCTCAGATGAACTTAGAGAGATGGAAACAGAATTCACAAGGCCTCCATGTCTGTACCAGGTCTTCTGTGTATATATTATAGCTTTCTGTTACTGTGTTTATGAGACTCCTGAATCTGTGAACCAGTGGCTCTCTCATTCATGTGCCTTCTCTTGAAACTCTTTTATTTTCGTTGGCTTGCCTTGTCCAGCTTGAATATAATTTGTTTTTGTTTTGTCTTATTTTATTTTTTTGTTGTTGTTATTTCTTAGAAACCTGTTCTTTTCTAATGAGAGCCTTTGGATGGAAGAGGCAGTTGGGAAAAACCGGAAGTAGAGGGAGGAGAAGTTGTATTCAGATTATATGAGAAAAAGATGTTTGATAAAAGGGGGAAAAAACCACTTGGGAGAGGGTTTCCTTTGCACAAGTCATGTGTCATTAACGCCATTTCTGAGAAAAATAATTTTAAAAAGACAAAAAAAAAAAAAAAACAGAATATAGTCTAATTTACTGTTACCTTAATGAGAACAGAAAAGTTTTATCAGTCAGCTTAAAGAATATTAAAGTAGGACAATAGAGTGGGATTTTGAAGGTATTTGTAGCAATTATTTTTATCTGTGCTATAAAAGATAAAGAACAATTTTTTTAAAAAGAACAATTTTAAAAAAGAGAAATACACAAAACTCACAAAGTCCTAAAATGCTAGATTTTTAAAATGTTTAATGTGAAAACTTTTCATCTTTGAAAGATGTCTCGAAGACAACTCATATCCTTGAATTCTCAACGACTCCATCACCCAAATGCTGCCGGTAGGTAGCAGATGGTTAATTAGCTAATGTAGGAAATGCAACTGCTGAGTACTGTTTTGCCCCCCATCCTTAGCATTATGCAACCTACAGACTTAGCAATTTTACTGAAAAAAACAGAAATGGAAAAAAAAATCAAACTAAATTATATCTAATTAAAAAGATAATTGTAGTAGCTTTAAATGAGTTCAGCCTCATGCTTTACAACCCGATACTACAAGACTCTAATGAACTTGGTGCCACATAGAGGGTGGTACTTCACCAAGGAGCAACACTAGTTTCCTGGCTTAGAAGCAGTTCCCAGCATTTAACAGCTTGACAAGTTTCCCTGCCAACACTCCCAATTCTGTTTAAGTATACTGACACTTAGAAAAGAAAGTAAAGAAACCAGCGCCATTTGTTGAAGATGCGTCCTTTTTCCACTGTACAGTTTTAGCGCCTTTGTCAAAAATCAGGTGCGCATAGGTGTATGGATTTATTTTTGGGTCTTCAGTTAGATTCCACTGATCAACCAGTCTATTTCTATGCAGTACCATGCAGAGATGGAGGGAATGCCCAACCAATACCCGGCCCAACCCTAAGACCCACCTATGGAAGAAAGGCAAAGCCTATCACTATTAATGCTTGCAGACAGGACCCTACCAGAGTTGTCCTTTTAGAAGCTTCACCCAGCAACAGCTCGAAACAGATACAGATACTGAGACTCACAAACATTGGGTTAAGCATAGGGAGTCTACTGGAAAAGAGGAGAGGGGTTAAGGATAAATGGACCTACAACTGAGAAAAGCTCTACAAGAAGACTGTCAGAGGCAGTCAATCAGGGCCCAGGTGAGCCGACAGAGTCTGACGCACCAATCAAGGAAAATGCATGGTCTGGACCTAGGTCCTCTACTTATAAGCAGGTGATGAGCATCTTAGGCTTCAAGTGGGCCCACTAGTTAGGGGGGTGGGGAATATCTCTGGACAAGATTGCCTGCTTTTTCAATACATTTCCCTGATGGCCAAGGAGAGGAAGATGACCTCAGTCCTCGCGTGAATAGATGAGCTGGGGTGTCTGGGTAGAGGGCTCCCCTATTCTGATGAATAGGGAAAAAGGGATGCAGGAGGGAGGGTGGGGATGGGAGGAAAGGAGGCAGGGGGCATCTATGACCGAGATGTAAATAGAATTTAAAAAAGGGGGGGGGGGGAAGTAATGGTCAGTGGGAGGTAGTGTCACAAAAAAAACTCAGCCCATGTCACAGGGCTCACACTACAGGGAGAAATGATAATTACAACACTTACTGAATTTAGGAACAATTCTGTTGAGCAGAACAAGATATTTCACAGTTAAATGACTACTCAGCTGGTCAGAAGAGAACACTGAATACATGTATAAAACTAGATGGAGCTAGTTTCTTGCCAACATGTTGTCTTACATGAAAACACAATACAATTTTATCTCACTTGCCCAAGACTTAAGACAGAATACACTATTCTAAAAAGGGGTAAAAATGCCTCAAATAAATAAAATGGAATCTTAGACTCAATGGGGTAACCAAGTGTCTGGTACATTTTAAGCATTATCCCCATTTGTCCCATTATAGATGCACTAAATCAAGACCACGGAGCAGAGTTCAAAAACATTTTTTTTAACAGTGCCTCAGGCCAATTTGAGAGACTGTCTTTGTCAAACCAAGTAATGATAATCTATTTTGATACTGTATTTTCTGATCATGGAAATAACTACAAAATTGGATTAGAGCTTCGATATCCCGATATTTAAAAGGATCACTACTGGAGGCATCGAGTATCACACCTGGAAAATGTCTGCTCAAATAAACAATACTACTAAATCTCGAAAGAACTCCCTTCTAACTTTGACTACTAGGCAAGGGGATTCACATGGCATTATGTTTTATATTCTTAACCACTCTTAAGTCAACTCTCAGTATATGGAGAAATGTTGCCATGCCATGGTTATCCTATACTGAAATTAAATTTTTTATTCCTATATATTCTCACGTTGTTAGCTTTAAATTTGAGAATGATCTAAAGATGCTTTAAAAATTAAATATTTACTGTTAGGGTTGCCTCCAAGATTTGTTCTAATTTTAAACCCAAACTGATGCTATGAAGCTAATTTAGCAAAGTGATATAACCTAAAAGTAATGCTATCTTGACTACTTCAGTGCCTGTTCAACTACAAAGAAACCTGCCCCACCTCAACTATGCAGTCATTTTTTGTCCCTTCAAGTAATCTTTTGAAGATATCTTGCCAAAAATCATAATCAGCAAGGTGGGCTTTATTTGTTCCTTGTATCTGAATCTCAAAGCACAGATGTGAAGGTTGTAACTGACTTGAGCCTCTTTATAAATAATACTGACTGCAGAAACAAAAACCTTGACATTGCATAGAAACCCTTAAGAGTTTTCATGCAAGACCAGGTCTGAAGTAGCTATGAGCACAGAGCCACGGACATCTAGGAAGAGCCAGAAAACGCCATTTGGTCCTTGATCATTTCTTTTATAAAATAAAAGCATTCCAAATGTTTATCCAATATCAGTCAAGAAAACAGTATGACAAATAGTTTTGGGAAAAGATGTGTGGACTTCATTTATACTCTTCAGACAAAACTTTGATCTGGTTTAATTTTTGGAATTGGTTTAGAAATATAAAGTACCATGTATTCAAAACAGTGTTTCTGGCTCATGGTCCCTAAACTCTCACTTTACCCATCTCAGATTACAGTCATTTTATTACTGGTCGCAGGTTGCAGAGCGCTATCATGCATAGCCTGCACCTGCATATTTACATTTGTTCCTCCCTTTCTTCACAAGGCTTATTTTGTCTTAGCCAAAATGACTACACTGGAGAGCTGAATACTAAAGGGTTAAGCAACTCAGACGTAAACTGAAGACAGCCTTTTCCAGACACTACTCAGAGTGTAAGCTGTCCATCACCCTTTCCTTCCAAACTTATTTTAAGCTAAGTCATAACATTATGGAATTTAGACTGAATAGAGCCAGCCTGCTTTGTAAATGAAGTTCTATTGGGAAGACAGCCAAGACTGCACTTTTGAATTATCTATGGCTGCTTATGTTGTAACCTGGGAGGCAGGCATTATGGAGATCACATGGCCTTTAAAGCTCAATTATTTGTTTCGTTTTGTTTTGGTTTTTATTATTTAGATCTTTACAGAATTTGCACTTTGACTTAAAAAAAGGTTTTATTTTAATTACAAGGATGTCTACATTTTTCTACTCTATCACTGAGATGGCCATTTTGGCCCACACATTAGATTGAAGAGTTCTGTGAATGCTTAAAATATTTAAATACGACTTACACTACTTCTATGAATTTTTTTTTGGGAAAGTCAGGTTTACGAAAGTAGCTTCATAGAAAAAGCATCGAGAGACATCTAATGACCCAAACTAAACACATTTAACAGCAGATATTACCCATTATATTTTAAAAATTCAATAATACAATGTTATTTAGGTACATAGAATCTGTTTTCAGCTACAAAATTTTAAACTTTACTGGACATCGAAAGATTTAGCCACATCCTCTTGGTTACTCCTACTTTCCTATTAACTTTTGTTGCAACCTAAGTTTGCACAATTTTTTATTACTCAACCAAAATTTTTGTTCATATGTCTTAGACCTAAAGAACAATTTTTCAATGCTGGAGAGCTGTAGTGCAGAGCGATGAACGTCTACGACTCAGATACCTGTAGAGGGCAACTTTCTGACTGGTAACTTTCTAAAAAAAACAAAGGAAATTTCTCCTTTATTACTATTACTTGCATGTATAAGTTACAATAATAGCCAATTTCCCATAAATATTAAATTATTAAAAGTAAGAGTATTTTCTAAGCTTTCAAAATGATCCTTAGATTTTTATATCATTTAGTAGAAAAATAAACCAGACAACTACATTTGTTTTTAAGCAATGTTTCCCAATAAAAATGTAGAAATATTTAAATTTACATATTACAGTGTACCAACATAAAGTCAAAACCCACAATTACACACTCATACAAAAATCTAAACATCATCTTCGGAATAAGCAGCTTCTGTACAGATTTACAGACATATAACTACACATGGAGTCTTCAGTGTGCTACGGAGTTCAGAGGTTCTGCTCGGATGTTTCCCAAGTCAAGTGCAGAATCTGTCTCTTCATCAATTTCCCCGATGACGGCTCTGTTATCAGTATGAGAAACAAGACAAGCGTTAAATACAGTTCTGAATAAGCTCAAGAGACAATGTGAAGGTACTATTACAAGAAGAAAAACTGAAGAGATACTGCAAAGTGTTTGAGCATCAGACCTTTGGAAAACTAGCAGCTCATCTGCAGCATTTACTAACAGTCAAACTAAAGCCCCCGTGGGGCCAACTGTAAGCTACTAACAAGACATTAATCTATTTACTTGCAGAAATTAAAAAAAAAAAAAAAAATCTAAATCTGAACAGTCTCTACAGGACCCCCTGGGCTCAGATCTTTTCGTAATTGTGAAAAAAATAAATAAATAAAAAGTAAAATTTTAAAAAAATCTAAGTCTATTTTCAGGAACTCCTAAAAGCAGGCTCTAGTCCCAACAGGTTTAGGATAAATGTTCAATTATGGTTTCTTTTTACACAGACATGGGAGGTAACTCCCTCCCCCCAAAAAAACCCCTCAAAATCAATGAATCCACACACACACTCACAGTGTCTCATCAGTACTGCTGTAGTCAGAGGACATGGGGATCCTCTACTCTGGCTCATCTTTTAAAACTCACCTTACAATTTTAATTAATGATCTGCCTATTTTCCTGAAGAGTTTTCAGATAAAGTTAAGTGGCTAGAGCATGTATTCATTTTAAGATATGCTTACAATATTCACTTATGAATTAGAGTATCCACTAAATAAAGTGTTCCTTTCCTTGTCTTTGTACAAATCCCTTCAGGCCGCCTGGTGTTCCTATTATCTTTTGCTGTCCTCTAGTAACTCTTCATTGTATTCTAGACACATTAATATAACTAAATTTAAATTTTAGCCACAAAAGGTAGATTATCCCTATAATCCTAACACCTGGCAAGCTGAAGGAGAACAAACGAAGTAACTTTGGGCTATATAGCAAGTTCCAGATCAGCCTGGTTATACACACACACACACACACACACACACACACACACACACACACACAATCAGAGAACAAAAATCCAAATTGAAATTAGTTTCATGTTCACCAGCCACTTTTAAAATACATCACAGCCACACAAATCAAGAGCCTGGATTATTGGAAAGTACTGATAGGCAAGACTTCCTAACTTCAGAAAAAAAATTATATTGAACAGCACTGCTCAAAATGGTTGCAGCTTTTTTCAAAGTGTTACCTCTAAGATATCTCAAATTAGACTGTCAGTGTCCTGCATGCAACAAGACAAGCAGGGTGTGGTGGCACACCTGTGATCCCTGCACTCAGGGAGTCAGAAGCAGGCGGATCTCTGTGAGTTCGAGGCCAGCCTGGTCTACAAGGCGAGTCCAGGACAGCCAGGGCTACACAGAGAAACTCTGTCTTGAAACAGAACAAAACAAAACAAAAAACCCATGACAACAGGTTTTTCGTGGGACACATGAAGAATATCCAGTTAACACTAACTAACAAACAGTAACAGCTAAATGGGCATAAATTATTTAAAATAACTTAATCAGGAGATTTTAAAAGAGAGTTTCCAAATATTAAGAAGCCTCTTTAAGGAAGAATTTGGTGCAAAGCAGGGTCCTTTCTGGACCTATCTTGGTACACACACAGTGATGGTTTAGGCTATTCAAAGGCTGTCATTCTGCGACACTTAGGAAGGCCTCCCTCGGAGAACACAGCTCAACAGTAGGCTGCCTGTTCTCCATGTACAAGAGTCTAGGGTCAAACCCCAGTTCTCAAGTAAGTACACATGTGTGAAATCTCAATAGGTAAATGTCTGCTTTGTGAAGAGATCACTTCAGTTGGTTCCTGAGGTATCTCAACAAAAGGTATAGAATTATGTACAAGTTAAGCTATTATCTGCAAAACAAATGAGGTCATTTTACATTCTATCACATATGGATGCCACCATGTATGTTGCAGAAAATCTCTTTCATAAAGCAAGCATCCCAGTAGTGAAAATGTACTCACAATTACTCATGCTACTTACACATTATCACCTCTCACGATGTACAACCCTAACACTACTTGTTCTACTCCCTGTGAAGAGCTGAACACCCGCTCATGGCTTTCATCCAAAATCAAGTTAATGGTCTGGTCAAAGCCCTTTAGCGTTCCCTGAAAAACAAACAAACAAACAAATGAACAAAGACTATTCTGGTTCTGAATATTTAAGTCAAATTTACAACCATTTAATTGTCAGTTAAGTACATATGTCTTAATTGGAGTCCACCACCAGATAAAATCCTTTTGTAGTCCGGAAGTATTCCATTAAACAGAACTTACCTTTCACTTGTTTTAAGATGGAGAAAACCTGCACTACGAATTAACTATTGTACAGTTGTTGATAGCTGCAAAGAACACCGAGGCACCAGCATTCCCAAGTAAGTCAACTCACACAGTCTAAGAATTAGAACTTAAGAATAGGCTAAAACAGGACAGACTTAAGGAAAAAAAGAATTTAAAAAACCACAAATAATTACTGTAACAGATCACTGTATGATACTTCTTGGTAAAGGGCAAAGTGTGAAAGAAACACACTGCATGAATTACCTCCACTTTCCTTCATCTTTGGAGATAGCATTGTGCTTTGCCCATATCAAATAAAAGACCCAATGCTCCAGAAAAATGATGGTTTAAGATTTCCTGAATTGTAAATAGTAGATCCAATCCTGAAAAAACAAGACTGGTTCCAGAGCCAGATTACAAAGTAACTGTTAAAACTACTCTGTTGTTAAAAAAAAAAAAAAAAAAAAAAAAAAGTTATTCAGAAATAAATCTATAAATATACACAAACTAGGTAGTAGTTACAGCTAACATTTCGTATCTCCTTGTCAACACTGTGTGTGTATGACTGAATTCTCTCAGTATTACAGTAGCCATATTAGAACTGAAACAATCAGAAACTTAACCTGAATGAAACTGGCAAAGAAAACTATATGGCTCTAGCAAAATGTAGCATCACAAATGCTATACAAGTGTCTGAAGAAATAGCTTATTTTTGATTTGGCTGGTTAATCTCTTGAGTCTACCAATAAACTCTCATGTTCCAAAAGCCATAATTATATAGAACCTGAATAAACTAAATAGAATCTAGAAACTGGAAAGAAAAACAAATTAGACTATTTACTATAGCAGTTAGAAAATGGTAGAAATGGTAGTTATCCCATAACTGGTAGTTAAATCCCCATAAAGGTCCTCTGACCTTCATTTTCTATGCAAATATCTTATCAAGAAACTATGTGATAACGACTGAACTACTAAAAGCCAATACAATGTTTTTGTTTAGTTTTTTTTTCTATAAACGTTCTCTAACAGAAATAAAAAAATTTAAACACGAGGCTTTAAAAATCAGCTATTTCCAAATTATCTATAAACAGCAACAGACTTCTTGAAGTGTTGAAATTAACATATTCCTAATTGCCCACAACTGACAAATTTATACTGTGAACTGACCACCATCAAAAGTAAGCAAACAAACAAAAACCCTACATATTTTGCTTCCTTTATTAAGATCAAGGGACGTAATCTTGGTTTTAGAATAAAACACAAATCTTGACAGTTTATAGCTCTCACTTGTTATAAGGACTCTCTGAAAAAGCAACCTGTTTTTTTCTAAGCTCAGTTCCTAATCTATGATATAAGTGGTAATTCTTCATAAAGTTGTACTGACACAAAATAAGCACATGATAGGCATTTATTCTATGGCAGGCTTTCACTGGTATTGCTCACTAAGGAGTAAGCAGAACCAAAAGGATTAAGAAGAAAACGAAGGAGCTTAAGACACAGTTCAGTGGGTAACAGCACATACTGATCCTCCAGAGTACCCTTCCAGGCACCCACACAGGGTGACTCAAAACTGCCTGTAACTGCAGCTACAACGGTTATGTGACTATCTTCTGGCCTGTGTGGTGTACTTCCAAACACATGACAGACACTCACACAAACATGAGTCAAAATAAAAATAAATCTTTAAGGAAAAAAAAAAATCACTTGAGGTTAAATTACAGTCATGAAAGAAATATTTCAGGCAGAGATTGTAGTAGATGAGGCAATGGTCCCAAAGATCTTTCCACCAGCAAAAGCATAGCTGAGTCAGTTTCTGAAAACACTCATGATTAACGGAAGAGCAATGAAATCACCTAAAACACACCTCAGATTGACTCTCCCCATTGTTAGGCAACCTTTGAGGGCATATGCATAGGGAGTAAATCATTAAAGGCCTCTAAACAAATAAACCAACAAAAAGAATGAAACAGAAGTGAAAGCATGCTAAAAGAAAAAAGAAACAGTCTTCTTATTACACAGGTCTGCACTTTAGATCAGAGGCCTTCAAGGTTTATTAGAAAAGTTGTATTGGCAGCCAAGAGATAAAGGTAAAGGTAAGAACATTGGATAACGGTATACCACGATACCTAAACACTAGATCAGAAATGTTACCTCAATTTTACAATCAATAAGCCCCAAGAAAGAGGAATGAAAATGTCACTCACCACAATCATTCTCCCATCAGAAGTAATAACAGCAACAGTTCCTGAGAACTGAGTCAAGGAAAGCATTTCTTGAAGAGCACTAACTGAAAACTTTCAGCCTACTAAGTAAATGGCTACAATTACTTAAGGAGGAAAAGAAAACAGTGGCAGAATTAAGACTCAACAAAGCCACTGCTTACGAGGAGGAAAACTTAAGTTTTTAAACTTGTTTCAATACTACCTTGAAAACAGTTCATGAAATGGGGGAGTGGCAGCGTCTCTGACACCTGACCCTGGTTTAAATAGCAATGCTTTCAATCCCACTGAGCAAGACACTTCCTTTCTTGGACCCATTTCTACATCTAACATAGAACATGGATTGAGTGATAATCAATGTTGGATCCTTTTATGCAAGTCAAGACTCAAGACCTGGTCTTAATGCCATCGAGTACCCAGAATTCTTGCACTATTAAAAGCTCTCTGTATTTAACTTTTGTTTCTTCTTGGCACAGATGCTCAGTGCAATGTTTTTGCCCGGACTTTAAAACAATCCTAATTTAAAACCTCATATGAGCTTTCAATAGGCAACTTGCCTCTCACTAAACACCACCACAATAAGATTTATGTTATCGTATAGACATTTCAAGCGGAGGTATGGGACCCGAAATTCAAATTTAAGAACCATCTTCCTACTTATGTTGTCCCCGAACAAAGGGCTAAACTGTGAGGACCTGCAAACTGGTTGTTCTAGGAAAACAATCCATCTCATCCCCAGTGTTGGAACACACACAATCAATAGGCTACTTGCAAGAAAGTTCTAACGGCACTGGGATCTGGGATGGGGGTTCAGCCGGAAGCTCCCACCGCGGACGCCGAGCCCCGGTCCTCCTCCCACCGGCCTCCACCCCGGCCCCGAGCTCCCGACCCGCTTCCGCCGCGGCCCGCCCGAGGATACGGTTGATGTAGTTCTCCAAGGCAGACGTCATTCTGCTGGGCCCGGAGGTCCCGGGAATCAGACAGAAGCCCGCAACAGGGAGACAAACGACGGCCGGCCAGAAACAGGCAGCGGTTCGCGCCCGCTGGCTAGCACAAGTACCGCGAGACGGACGAGGCCTCAGCACTGGCGAATCAGCGACTCCGAAGAGCCGATCCCACAGGAAGCCGGGAGGTGCGGACTAGTGCGCGTGCGCAGTGTGTTTCCGCCGGGCTTCCGGGTGGCGACCGGTAAAGGGAGGCGGACCAAGGCGGGTACAGACGGAAGTGTCCTCCCTAGAGGCGGGGCCGGACGGAGAAGCTTGCAGGGCTCTGGCGGAGGGCAAGGCGCTGTGGTGCTGCCTAAAGGTAGTGTGGAAGACGCGCTGGGCCAGGAGACCCTCGAGATAGGACGTTTCCAGCGGCGAGCGAAGGAGGAAGAGAGTCTTTGTTCGCCCAGGCGACGTTGCCGCAGTGTAGAGGGAGCTCTGGTTTCCTCCAGACCGAGCCAAAACACTCGACCTACACGGAGTGAGCCTATTGTAGCCACGCGCTGTGCGTTTTCGGAGAATCCATCTGTGTATTTAAAATATGCGTGTGTATTCTGAATTTGGCTCAAGTGTTCCAATGGAACTTCAAAAAAAGAATTCAAGAAGGTCAAGGTGCAGAGCCTCCTTTAAGAATTTCACTTTTCTCAGAGTGGAGGAACTGACTGGGGCAAAGTGTAGAATACGCAACAAGCTCAATTCTGATTCTGTCCCTGATAACTCATGATGTTGTTTAAGTCACTTCAATTCATCTGGACCTGAGTTTACTTAGATCCTGCCATAGCTATAATCTTTTTTTTTTTTAAACATGTCTTGATAAAAGTAAGAACATGTCTGTCTTTGTGTGTGTGTATGACAGGACCTTGCTGTTGCTATACAAGTCTTAAAAAAAGTGCTGTACCAAATAAACTACACCCCCAGACTCCCTTAGCCCTTTTTATGTTTGTTTGTTTTGTGGTACTTTCACTTAAAGACTGGAAATTAGGAATCTGCATAACGAATAATGGAAAAAGCAATATTTCTTTTGTTGTGGATTTAAAAATCTTTTTTAGCTGAAGAATTCTGGCTTTGGTATTTAACTTCCTGTACCTTGGCTTTAATTGGAGGAAATGACAGTAATTACATCAAACTGTTGGAAAACTAAAAGAATTCTATTAAAGCTCTCTATACAAATTCTAGCTATTATTATTCAAGAAAGTAGACTGCAATATAAACTTTTGTTGTTGTTGTTGCCCCAAAGCTTATTCTAACATTTTATCATATTTTCTAATGGGGCAAAAAGAATGGCACACATTTTAAGTGCTTTAAGGAAGGATTCGATAGGATGTGTAAAAATATTGGAAGGCTTTTTTGAAAAAAAAAATATGATTTAAATTAGGGCTTTAGGGAAAAGTAAATACACTTCACAGAAATGGACTGGAAGCTCTTATTTGCTGAAGTTATGAACTAAAGCTAATCTATCAGGAGTCTCAGTATGGGTTCTTGATTCACTGCAGTATGAATGGGAAGGATAGAAAAAATATGTGGTCAGGAGACAGGATAAGAAAGGAAATGATGTATCTGGCACTTTGTGGGTAGTATGGTAATGGCAGTTGATGAGACAGAAGGGTAGAAACAGTGAAAGAATGTTGACGTAGGCAAGCCCAACCTGTTGAGCTGTACAAATGTGTTAGTCAAATAAGGATATAAAACCAGCATTTAAAATTTTATTCTTATTGTGTATGTACTCTGTGTGTTAGAGGTAGAGAGAGACATAAAGACAATGGGAGAGGAGGAGAGATTAGGCCCTGGTACAGGTGTGGAAGTCACAGGACAACTTTCAGAAGTCAGTTATCTATTTACACTCAGGGACCGGAGGAATCAAACTCAGATTATCAGATTTGCACAGAAAACAGTTTTACTGGGTTGAGCCATTTCCTCAGCCTCTACGTTTGGTGTGTCTTCAGGACTCCTTTCGGGGTTTTGTCTTCCTGAGACATTTTGTTACTGTTGGAGCTGTTCTTTGACTGCAAACAACTAAGCTCTATTGGTCTGCATTGTCATTGCCATTGTTGCCCACAAAAAGTAACTCATATTATAATCAAAGGGGGATTGATGACCAATGGTGCTCAGACCTAGACACTTCAGCTCGTTCTCAAATTCCTGGCTAGGAAAAATATAGAGTGGGAGAGGCAAACTCAACACTCGTCTCTGGAGCATTTTCTCAATTTCTTCTTCAGAGTGATCTTATGTGAGAGTTGGCAAATTACAGTCTGTAGCCATATTTTTTTGGTATATACATTTCACTGCCACTCAGCCACAACAATGAATATAGAAGTCACAACTGGAGGGCTTCTGCTTTATTTTGAATTTTGTATCCAGGCACTTTGCTGAAGGTGTTTATCAGCTGAAGGAGTTCTCTGGTTGAATTTTTGTGGTCGCTCAGGTATACTATCATATCATCTGTGAATAGTTACACTTTGACCTCTTCCTTTCCGATTTATATCCCCTTGATCTCCTTTAATTGTCTTATTGCTCTAGCTAGGACTTCCAGTAATACGTTGAATAGGTATGGAGAGAGTGGGCAGCCTTGCCTTGTCCCTGAGTTCAGTGGGAAAACCACTTTGGAAATCAATCTGGAGCTTTCTCAGACAGTTAGGAACAGTGCTACCTCAAGATCCAGCTATACCTCTCCTAGGCATATATCTAAAAGAAGCTCAAGTACACAACAAGGACATTTGCACAACCATGTTTGTAGCAGCTTTATTCGTAATAGCCAGAAACTGGAAACAACCCACAGGTCCATCAACAGAGGAATGGATACAGAAATTGTGGTACATTTACACAATGGAATACTACTCAGCAATTAAAAACAAGGAAATCATGAAATTTGCAGGCAAATGGTGGGATCTAGAAAAGATTATCCTGAGTGAGGTATCCCAGAAGCAGAAAGACACACAGTATATACTCACTTATATAGTCCTATAAAATAGGATAAATATACTAAAATATGTAAACTTAAAGAAGATAAACAAGAAAGAGGACCCGGGGTAAGATGATCAATCCTCACTTAGAAAGACAAATGGCATGGACATGGGAAGTAGGAGAAAACAAGAAACAGGACAGGAGCCTACTGCAGAGGGCCTCTGAAAGACTACCGAGCAGCATATCAAAGCAGATGCTGAGACTCATAACCAAACCTTCGGTAGAGTTCAGGGAATCATATAATAAAAGGGGGAGTTAGTATGTTCGGGAAAGGACAGGAGCTACACAAGGACAAAATATATCAGGGCACAGGGGTCTTCTATGAGACTGTTTCTCCAACCAAGGACCATGTATGGATATAACCTAGAACCCCTGCTCAGATGTAGCCCATGGTAGGTTAGTATCCAAGTGGATATCCTAGTAAGGGGAACAGGAACTATTTTTGACATGAACTCAGTGACTGGCTCCTTTACTTTCCCCATCCCCCCAAGTGAAGAACAGCCTTGCTAGGTCACAGAGGAGGACATTGCAGCCAGTCCTGAAGATATCTGATAAACTAGGGTCAGATGGAAGGGGAGGAGGACCTCTCCTAGCAGTGGACTTGGAAAGAGACAGGGAAGAGATGAGGGAGGGAAGGTGGGATAGGGAGGGAATGAGAGAGGGGACTACAACTGGGATACAAAGTAAATAACCTGTGATTAATATTAAAAAAATAAAAATTAATATAAAAATAAAAATAGTCACAACTGTCCTTGACTTCTTTAAGGCTTCAGGAGCACAGCTGCATAATTTCAAGAGGCACTGTAAACCTAAATATTTATAAGTGGCACTGGGCAGAAAGTTTGAAGATCTCACTTCAGACCAACAAGTGAAATTTCTTAACTTTTATGGATGCATTACCAAATCTTTTGCTCTGATTTACCTCACTTTCATAATACTCACTTTTAACAATAAAATTTTCCAATTCTTTTGAACATCTTGTACCAAAAGCATGCTTTTGTAAACAAAAGCATCAAGCCTGTCTTTAGAACAATGGCTGTATGTTTTCCTCCCTTTCCTGTGATTGTCATTTCAACCAAGAACATGCAGATATTTTTTCCAACTCAATCATGTAATGACATTTTTCTCTTGCATGAATATAGTAGAAAATAATGATTGTTATTTTAACATATGCACCAGAAAGCAAAATTAAAATCACAAAGGATATCATAACAATTTAATGAATTGAGATAAATTCTTAGCAGACTTTTAAAACACAAATAAGTAACTAAAAAAAAAAAAGCTATTTGTACTGATTATTAATCTGATATCTTGCTGTGTTTCTCAAAATTCTTCAAGTTTGGATAGGAAAAAAAGGTCAATGTGTCAAGTACCCATGTCCTATGGGTTTTGTTGCAATGGCAGTCTTAGGTTGTGCATAAGAGTACTCAATACTAGTGTTGCAAAACACCTATAAACAACCTGCCCTACGATGCACACCAGTCTAGCAACAGCAAATTTATAAAGTGATTTTAGGCTGCAGAGGAGAATTAATTTAAAAGCTCTTGATGCTATCAGAGTTACAACTTTGTTTTTATCTTTTAGATCTGTCTTTCTCCAGGTGCTAGAATTTCTTTCATGCTACATAGCTTGTTTTTCTCCATGACATTAACAGATCGCACTGTCCACAAGTCTTCTTGGAGCTTTCACAGAACAAAGAAACTTCATTTGTAGGAGTACTTATCTCATTGTTCCTGTTTCTTTGTCTGAAAAATGGCAAATGCCCATTTCTGAACCAGTCCCTTTGCATAGATCCAAGAATCTCTACAGAGTTTAACCTAGGAATATAAGAGTCTGTCTACACCAACCACATAACGGCTTTAAACAGGGAAATATATGAGTTCTAAAGAAAATAAGACTCCTCTGTGTTGGAAGTAAAAGAAAACATTCTGAAGAAGCAACCAGCAAATATCTAAACCTCTCCTAAGATATATTTGAAATTAATGAAATATGGATCTGTGCTGGCTAATTTTATGTCATCCTTGGCACAAGCTGCAGTGATCTGAGGGGAGGGAACCTCATTTGAGAAAGTGTGTACGTAAGATGAGGCTATAGAAAAGCTATAGGGCATTTTCCTACTTAGTTGTTGAGGTAGGAGGGCCCAGCCCATTG